TGCGGCAATTTACTATGAAACCAATTAAAGAACGACACTGGTTTACGTTTGATGTGATTTCGATGCAATTCTTTCTTTGTTCTTTGTTTTTGCAGTTTACCAATCGCGGTTGAATCGCTACAATCTGTTTGAGTGCATTATGAACTACTACTCCTTTTTCCAATTGATTCCAATCTTCTTCTTCTTTCTTCCGACCTTATTTCATCTACATTTCCAATAACCAAATCGTAATATTAACTACATTTTCCTACAAAATACTTAACACAACCTCGTCTAAATATGTCTATTTTCAACAATTACCCCCGGAATAGCGACATTAATTCATACTTTTTATTACCTACGTTTACTTTAACTGTAAGAAAAAAAATAAATACCAAGAATGAATACTGAATTATTAATTCTCTTATGTTACTTTTGTTATTTATTATAATTTTTTTTTACACTTTAATTTAAGAAATGCTTTCGAAATTCCACATTCTTTAAGGATGATGTCAAGTAGTTCTTGTAACTAATTTGATAAAACGTTTACGAAAAATTAATAAAAACAAATGAAAAGAATATATTCTTAAAAGTTAAAGGTACAGACTTAGAAAGTTTATATGTATATATTAGAGTCGACCCCCCCCTATAACACTGATGATTATTCCGTTTTATATGAATTCCGTGTTGTACGAGTCACTTAGATTTTACAAATACGTGTACCGGGTTGTGAACGGCTCACGTATTTGTAAAATCTAAGTGACTCGTACAACATGGAATTCATATAAAACGGAATAATCAATAGTGTTATAGGGGGTCCACTGTACAGTACGCTTATATTTTTAAGTAGTTTCTATAGAAATTAAATTCTTTAGGTTTATTTAATTTTCAAACTTTTAAAACTCTTATTTAGAGCTAATTTAAAAGCTTAGAAGGAAGTGAAATGATTTAAATTTATAATAAAATTAAATTTTTAAAGGTAAAAGTAAAATTTTAACATCTCTAACTAAATCTTGTCATACACTTAAGGAAAAAAGTATAGGAAAAAAAAAAAGAAAAATGAAAAAGTTTTGATCGTTTTCTGGCTTCTTTATCATCTAAAGCAGAGGTTAAAGCTCTTAGTTAGTTGAATGTTCGTGACAAAATGGCTGTTTGCGAACATTAAATCATTGATTTTGAAACAGACTGACATTTTGTTAAATGCAAATGATAATCTGGTGACTTTTCTTGAAAAGTAGACATTGAGAATTTTGATTAATTGAATTAATGGTATAGATTATCAACTAATAAAGCTAGAAAATCACGAAAAAAAAATTAATAATACAGTATTTAAAAGATCGAGCGAGCGCACTTTTAAAATTAAAAAAGAATCATCGTCTCATAATAGTTCCAATTAAAGAGAAGTATTTTTTATTTTTAAATAAATATTTTATATTAAAATCTCTCGGCTTTCAGAAAAGATTAATTTAGTTAATAGTCTTTTTTTTAAATTAAAAAATAAAGAAAGAAATAAAGAATAAAATACACGAGTAATATCATCATCGTATGTAAACAAGAAGCCAAAACCTCTGAGTTAATCTAAGGAATTTAATTTTATAAATATTAAAGAAAAGTAGAATATTTTGATAAATTTATTAAAGTTTAGTGAATAGAATTTTGTAAACTTCTAAAAAATAAAAAGAACTAAATATCATTTACGTATTGTTTGTTGTAGATTATCAGTTAGATGAAGAATATGTGGCCCCATTATAAATAATAGGAAAAGATATACTTTTTAAAACAAGTGAGCTTATAGATAATATTAAATTCTAAAAATAAAAAAAAAAACATAAGCTACACGAATATGGTACTATAAATTCTATAAATAGGCCTATACAATTCAATTGTAAAAGTACTGTACTGTATACAAGATTAGTGCGAAAGTTTAAACATTTTCTAACTTTATTTAAAAAAATAAAGCGTTATAATAGTTATTTATTTATTAACTTAATACTTTATAACTTTACTAAATTACTTCTATAAAAATTGGATTATTTTAATACGAAACTGGACAATAATTTGAAAAAAACAATACGCATTTTCTTTAATTTGGTGAAGAACTGATCTACAATCAATTATTTTTATTAAATATATTAAAATTTAGATATTATATAAATAAAAATAACTAATTTAAAACGATTTTCTTAATTAAAAATAACATTCTGTAGGCCTGTAAACTAAAAAGTGTTTCGAGATGGCCTGTGTTTTCAGGGTGAATTTATAGATGAACTGGCCTTTAAAACATTATAAAAATAATTTACCGATTAAAATTAAACTCTCGATTAATAGATATTTTCGTTAAATTATTAAAAATGTATTAATAATTCTGTAAAAATTTAGTCTAACATCATCTAAATTACTTTAATAGAACAAGATTGACTTATTGTCTAATTTTGTATAATATTTAAATTATAATACAAAATATATGCTAATAGAATCGATCTTAATTTAATTTAATAAAAGTTAAATAATATTCTATAAATGTATTAAATAGTTTAATAAAAATCAATGAATAATTTATGCGTAAACTTAGGCCGCCCCCTCCCCCCTGTTTATTTTTATTCTGTAAACATTTAACAATTGATTTTACAATAGGCCTATGATATTAATGAAGTTCGGTGTAATTTTTAATTATTAATTTCTTAATTAATAAATTTATATTTATTTTAATCAACTTTATAAAAATTTTTCCCGATATTTTCTTAAATTAAACATCCGTTGATCACTCGATCTTAATTAATTCATTAAGTTTTTTTTTTACGATTAAATTAAGGAATAGATATTTAATGACTTCTTCCAAATATGTCTTATTTTAATAGAATAATAGGCCTATGCAAATTTATTATTAAAATACTATTAAATTATAGCTTTTTTTAAACAAAATAAAGGTCTTTAATAAGACATTTTCAATGGTTAAACGGCATTAACCAAGTTCTCCACCCCTTTGCTGTAATTAATGTAGTGTTGTATTTCATCAAAGATCGTAGACCAATTAATTTATATTTAATTATATTATGCAAAATAGTATAAAATTAATCTTTACAATAAGAAAAGAATATATTTTTTTTTTATAATGTAACCATTAACATTACCAATAGAAAGAATATAAAACAATCTGCAATTCATTTTCGTATACTCAAAAGAGCATAAGGCATTTTTAAATCTATAAAAGATGTTACTTTAGTAGTATTATTCAGAAGGAATTTCTTCTTTTTTTACTTTATACTCTTTTCTCTAGCAATAATCGAATCCCAAGTTAAATTTTGTATCCCTATTGACCTATAAAGTAGCTTGTGTATGACTCCATAGAGAGAATAAAACATATCGGCCTATTAGTCCATCTTCAAGTATAGAATTTACAACACGAATCGTAAAATCTAAAGGATAACAAAAACAAAAACAATATTAAACGTTTAATCACCTTTATTGTTAGAAAATTATGTTTAGATCCTTGTATATATAAGTACAGTACCATGAAGTCAGTTCTATTCCATTGTTTTCTCCATTAACAACTAATTACACAATTTAATTAGTTTTTTACTAGTTTCATTTACTCATTTTTACTTTATAAATTATAAGTTTTTAACATTAATTTTAATTAAATTTAATAAAAAAAATTCTATCGTCGTATATAAACTCAATTTTATTTTGTATTATAAGGTAATATATGTTTATATTTCAAGGCCTAAAAGAGGAGATTTTTCAGGCTTATTCTTCATTTTAAAATAATATATATATATATATATATATAAGTTGAACTAATGAATACGGTAAAATTGAACTTTTCTCTCTTCTCCTTTTGTATAAAAGTAGCCATTCTTCCATCGTAAATTGCAGAATATATTTATATAGAGGGTTTTATGCTTTCAGCAAAGGTTAGGCTGTCAATATTCTTGTCTAGTAACGGCAAACATCTGTCGAGTCAGCCGTGTAGGGCTTAGCTTACAACATTTGGGCGTGTGAAGAGGTGGAGCAAACATGGCTGCTCAATAAGAGGGTCGATTGGTTGAGAGCTAGTTTCCTTTTTTCAAAAAAAAAAAATAAAAAAAATAAAGAAAAAAAATATTGCATACAAACGTTCAACTTCCATTTTACAGTGTATTATCATATATTAAGCTCTTATATAGAAAGAGGTTAAACAATGCATTAAATATGAAGTATAGAGAGAAAATAATAGGCCTGTAGAGTAATTCTCTAGTATTCTCTTATCGAAATTTTGGAAATTTGTCAGCATTTATCCTCATCATCTTGATTTACATTATGAAAAACAATTTAAGTCCATTCTTGTCTTTTAATTCATTTATGTTTTTAGTTAATTAAATGTATTAAATTGCTAAGAAAAATCATTTAAAAACTGTAGTTTAATTAAATTCTTTATATTAAAAGATTAAGAATTAAAATAATAAATGGAAATAAAAAGATAAAAATTTTAATATGAGGTAAAAAAAAAAAAGAAACAACTGACTAAAGAATAATGTTGTTAATTTAATAATAATGTCATTAAGTAAATTAAATCACTTAAGTCATGGCTAATTATCTTTAATTTGTTCATCAAAAATAAAGTTACAATATATAAGCTAATTTCTCTACTGGGCCTTAACTCTAATAGACCATAACTCGATTTTGTAAGTGGCTATTTAAAAGCCGAAATATGACAATCGACATTTAAGAGTGAACATTTTAAAGATCCAAAACTACTGTGTTATCGTTAAACTATTTTATATTTAACTTTAGTATTTAATCAAGGTTTAAATAGTAAAATAAATTTAGTTTATTTGATTTTAATGTAATTGAAATTACATTAAACATGTCGAACATTCTAATATTTTATCTGGGGAGAATTTCTAAGTACTATGATTAATTTCTCGAGGTTTATTTAAATGAAAACATTGAATGTAATAGAATTTTAAATGGTATTTTTGAGAGTGCATCTTATAAGTAAACTTAATAAATGATAAAAATGATAAAGAAGAAGTAATTACCTGCTAAATCTAGAGGCGGTGGATAGGCCAATCCCGATCTTAATAACCATTGGAGGCTAAATGGTTGATGGTTCTTTAGTTGATCAAGAAGTGGACGGCCCGTGCAGGGAGAGTCTTGGGACACACCCGAATTGTCAGCGTGAATGTCCAGAGGCGGGTGTATCCCACCCAAAGGATGGGACGGCAGCAAAGGTAAGAAAAAATGGCCCGGGTTGGTTGTACCTGCCAAAGGTAAGACTAATGGAGCCACACCGTAGGATCTGGTAGCGAACTGTGGGCCTGCTGATTGGAAGGCAGCACTCGGAGTGTCACCTGTCCTGCCGTACACGGGGGCCACGCCGTACATACCTGAAGGACTAGATATACCTGCCGGAGAAAGGGGACAACCTGTAGATTCTTGTTCCCCCGACTTAGTGACATCATCTTTGGCTAAGAGGGCATCTATCCCAAACGACTTTGTCTTCATCGCCGTCTTCATGGTGGTCTGTCGTCTGGTAAAGCCGAGTTAGGCCTAGCAGCGGTGTGTCGATCCCTATTGGACGATTGGCTGTTGGAAAATGCACCGATTGGACGAAAGACTTTGCTATAATAGCACGACTGAGGTGTCTTAAATTGGCTGCTAACATATCAATTGCGTGTTGACAGCATCAGAGAAGAAAATACCAGTCGATAAAGCTTTTGTCGGAACTTCTCCCCGCTACTATACACGACACAAATGCTAACTGATGCTGTTGCCATTTTCCAGTTCCGCTTTGGCTATTGATAACACCGCCTACCTGACTATTTCCTATAAACTTTACTCCCTCAACCGATTACGCGATTTTTCAAATTCTTAAGGCCTTTGTTATTCTTTACACCATCAGTTTAAGGGAATAAAACTTGACCTAGCTTTATTTATATTTATTTTCAATCAACACTCGAACGGATGCGGCAAACAGAAACAATGCAATCGAACAATTAATTAAGAGAAATTTTTAGTTCTCCTACTCTTGCCGATCACGTTAAATTTAAGTGGTATTTAATGTTTCTTACCTCATAATCTGGAACGTAGCTTGATAAAGAAATTGGGACTTTACTCGGGGCTATTGATGTAAGTAAACGTGTTCGGACTGTAAGACATCCGGTATGATCTCGTCAGCGAATTATTAATGTAACCAATTACAGTTGGTAAAGTCTCCAGAGATCGTTTTCCTAAAAGCTGTCTTTGCCAATCTCCTAATGTTGTTTTTTTGTAAACTAGATTTCTTTCCAGGTCCTAATCGATTGGGACCTCATACGTCAAGTTATAGGATATATTTATTTATTTGATGGATCTGTATCCGTATCTTTTGGAGGATGTTGCATCAAAAAGGCGGGTCTTTCAGTGTAAAGATTCTACTAGAAAAATCTCCTATTAAAATATTTGTTTTGTAAATCGAAAAAACGTATTTCGTTAAGTGCATCTATAACAGATAATAGTGTAACATCTTATCTGATATTGATATTGTTTTATTACTAATAAGAAATAAAATAATCGTTAGATATGTGTCTATTTTGAAAACATTTGTAAAAACCCGGCTTTTATTTCGTGGCCTAAAAAAATAAATAAATAAATTATATATTTATACGTCTCGATAAATATTATTATTATATTCGGCTTATTTTATTTTATTTTTATACGGGAAATATCGCTAAAACTATAATTGTCATCCCTACCGATACAATAAGCGAAACGAATAAAGAGAAAATATAATTTTTGATATTTTAAACAAAATTAGTACCATTCTACCCCCCTATAACACTGTTGATAATTCCGTTTTATATGAATTCCATGTTGTACGAGTCACTTAGATTTTACAAATATATGAGCCGTTCACAGCCCGGCACACGTATTTGTAAAATCTAAGTGACTCGTACAACATGGAATTCATATAAAACGGAATTATCAACAGTGTTATAGGGGGGGTCGACTGTATTTAATTCTTAAGGTCTATTTAATACGGATTTAATATGACTTTAGGCCTTAATATATATATATTTTTTTAAATTTAGGCCACCACTAAAATATTAAACTTATAACAATTGTGTATTTTGTAATTTAGTTTCCTTTTTCCTGTGTTCACGAAAGGCCAGTACTGAACACATAATGTTGTTTTTAAGGAGAGGACAAAGCTCAGAAACAAATAATTATATCAATAAATTTTTCTTTTACGAATCGATTATAAAATACCGTACTGCATCTCATTGTCGAGGTGTATGCTTTTACAATTATAATTTGTGGAATTTTTTCTTTTATTCTATCCGAGGGTCGAGTACCCCGTTTGTCCCCTTGTGCATAGGCCCAAGCGTTGATCATAATATTATAGAAATGTAACCTTTATAGTAATTTTAAGACCTAAAGGTAGTTATTATTGCCTTTAATTGTACACATATGACCTTATAAACTACGAATATTGTATTAAAACTAGTTAATTAGTATTATGTAACTCAGAACGACTGTGTTCTCTTAAGTAAAATTATCTTCATAGATATATATAAACGAGATTATTACTTTCTCTAATTCTATATAATAATATAGAAAAATCTTATAAAAATTAAGCTAAAACACCTGTAGACCGTGTTAGAAAATTAACTGTTACGATATTAAATTAATATCGAATTCTGTATCTATATTAATTAATTAATTAATAAAGGCCTAAGCCAATTTCGATAATTAAATGGACCAATTATAATTAAATTTATAATTCTCCTATAGTTAAAATGGCATTTCATATTTGATCTATTTTAAGTTATCTTTATAAGTTTAAAAATATTTTATAATTATAATTAAGTAGATTTTCTGTATAAATTATTTATTATTCAACTAAATTAAAGAAATTAATTGTAAATATTTTTATATTATTCATTGTTATAATATATATTTATATTGCAGTTAACTAAATCTAGAGACAAATTGTGATGATAAAATACATTTAATAAATCCTTCCAGTTAAAGAAGAGAAGAGAAAATAGTCTCTTAAACAACAAAACCGCTTAAAATTTAATTAGCATAAATATTTCAAGTCTACTTATTTAAAATAACGTTAATTACATTGCACAGCCGACAACCACATTTTAATGAATTTGAAGATGCTGAGTAAAAACAGAGGGGAGAAGAAAGAAAAAAAAAAAAGAAAAAAAGAAAAAAAGGTTGAACGATCGGAGATACAAGATGCTTTAGTCACGTCTGTCTCATTCAATTGGATAAATCGTTAAGGATCTTCCGCTCGTCCCTCTATACCCGAAGGTCTAGATTTATATACAGCACAATGCCTATAGGCCTTATACATAAGGTACATTAGAAAATAAATCTTTACGAGTTTTAAATCGATGTTTTCTTTTTTTTCTCTTCTTCTTCTTCTTTTTATTTTTGTTTGCTTTTCGATAGAGTTTATGAATTAAATAATTTTCACTTAATGATTCTACCATTATAAACTAAACGTATTGTTCTTAATAACTGTTAAGAAAACGAAACAAAAAAATACACCTAACGAAGCAAATTTTTTTTTATAGGATATTGGAGAAATTAGCTGCTTATTCTTGATAAATTACAAATTATTTTCATTTAATTAACGATATAAAAGGAGGGGGGTTTCTGCGTAGGTCTGTGCCGTGTGAAGTGTAAATTACTGTGAAAATTCATGTATAAATTCATGTATAAATTCGAATGGCTTTAATTTTCCTAAAAAAAAAAAACAGATGTAAATACTATAAACTGCTATAAAGAAAACAAATGAATTAAATTTATTTTTCCGGCAAGCATTTAGTGACGAAGACGGAGAAGACGAAAGAGACTATGGAGCTATTTTACAAAGATAAAAAAAAAATTAGAAATTTCCAATGTTTTTTCTTATAGATTAGTCTAAAAATAGATATTTGATAGACGTCAACAGTAAGCGATAGGCCGATAATATATATAAAGATAGAAGAAAATCGGAAGAAGGAAGGAGGGGGGAAAAAAGAAAGAAAAAAAGAAAAGAAAAAATTGAATAGCTTTTGTTCTCTCACAAACAGGTTAAAGAGAACATCCAGTTTGCTTCCGTCGCCTCTAGGAGGCGCTGATTTAGTAGGAAATTTAAAACATCTCAGTGTGTAATCAAGCTTCCTCCATCGTCCATCCTTTCTCCTCAACAAGACAGATTAGGGTTGAATTTTAGATCGGGCACCACACTTGGGAAAGACTGATTTCCCACGGCACCTATCTCTCAACCGTTGCTTAGCAACCATCCGACATGATGTTCGCATGCCATCTCAGACACTGGACTCATATTCTCTTCTAACTGACTGCTAAATAACTTGTTTTTCTCACTAAATAAGTATGAAGATACTTTTTTGCAATAATCATTGATGATTCCTATTTTATTTATTTATTTCTTCTTCTTCTTCTTCTTCTTCTTTTCTTCCTTTTTTTTTTTTAAAAAAAAATAACATTTGTAAAGATTTCTATCGTCTATTCTAATGCAAATGATGAGTTTTCTAAAGATCCCGGTTATCATCTAAAATTAGAAATTTAACAAGGATGTTCTTAGATAAATTTTAAACAACCGATTTAATAAATTAATTAAACGCATCTTTATTTATTTATTTTTTTTCTTCCTCCTCCTCTTCCTCCTCCTCTCATTGCTTTACTTTATAAGTGTACTACTTAATAATTATCCCGATTTAGAGCTATTTTAAATCCCTATTTTTAGGGTAATCGATAGAAAGAGACTATTTCTAGCAATTTAGATAAAACGTTAGGATTTTTCTCATCTGATCTGACTAATGGTTTCCATTTTCTAGGCCATTAAACGTTTAGATATTGTTGCAAGAGTATTCGTTGATCAGAATGGAAATGTCCGAATTGTCCAACCGAGCGCGATAACTTCAAATGACTACAATAAACGAAAAGAATAAAATATACACCACGTTAAAATAAAAATCATGTTATAATCTATGAATTTTATTCTTTCTAAATCTTCAGATTAAGTAAAAAATATAATAAAAAAAATATACAGCGAAAGAGAGAGAGAGAAGAGAGAGAGAGAGAAGATGCGGAGGAAAAACAGGGAAGCGCGAGAGCAACATCTTTAAAATGAAATTTTTAAATGTAATTCTCTAGCTAATTATTATTAAAAGATGTTGTTAATTAACTCATTAGTTTTTCTTGTTAAATAACGGCTTAATTGTTGTTAATGACGTGTCAAATTCGATAATAGTTTGTGATACAAACACGTGATGATCGCGCTAATTAACCTTTTTTCTTTTTTTGGTTTGTTTGTTATTGTTTTTATAGTCAAATCTGTTACTTCGCTGTTTTGATTTAAGCTTATTTAATTATAATTTTTTTTTCTTTTTAATTAAATAAAAAAACTATATATATATTGTATAAATATAATAGGTACTGTAATATACTTTGCGCCATCTGGTAACTGTTAAATAAATTAAAACAGATTAAAAATTTAAATTAATTTATAAAAGTATTAATTATACATTAATTAAATAATTTATTTACAATAAAACCTGTCAAAAACGGAACCCGAATAAAGCGGAAATCAACGTAAACGGACAGGGAAAAAACCCGGTTTACACAGGTTTTACTGTATTGTACGTTTGTGTAAGGTATTGTTTATTGTAAATTTACTTAATTATCCATCAATAATCAATCGATAAATAAAGGATAATGGCAAGAATCTGATGCGAATTTAAAACTAAAACAAGCGATAAGACCAACAGAATAAATATCTTTAATCTTATTTATACTTATCTCATTATATAGTTAATAAATGTGATCAATTATTATTATTTTTAGTAATTATAATTAACTTTATAGATTAATCGACTTTTGTATTAGTTAATTAACTTAACTCTAAATCGATTTATCAAGTTCTAAGTAAAATATTTATTATTTAACATTCTTCATTACGATCTGATTTTATCTTTATTAAAATGAATATGCTTATCCCTAGGGTAGATATAGGACAGACAAGTTAATTGAAGTAATTATAATAATACCTACCACAAATAGATTTTACCACAGTGTACTAAAGAAAAATTCTCATTATTTAAGTGTAATTATTTAACAATTTTTTTTAAAAAAACATTCTATTCTTTTATAATATTTAATAAGCTAATGTAAGGGGGGGGTTTACGTGTTTAAAAAGTTATTCAAATAGTGTTAATTAATGTAATAAAATATACATTTTTCTATATTTTATCCTCTCAGTTTTATAGTAAAACCAGTATAGTACATTTAAATTGTATTGTGATCAAACACTATTGCCAATCTCTCTCTCTTCGACAGTGCATTCATGTAATCATGATGAGAACTGATTAAGTGAACACACTTCTTTCTTATCTCTATTTTTAGAAAGCATATTCTTTTATTGACAAATGAGATCCACAGTGATGAAAAGCATAAGCTTATTAACATAAGTAGACTACTTCATACACTTAGAACTCATCTTTATATAATTTATAATAGAAATTATAAAATTAAAATAGTTTATAACTATATATATATAGGTGTATATATTGATTTTTTGAAAGAAATTTATTATTATTATTCGAAAAAATCGTCAGCATTATAAGGTTTGATCATTAGACCATCAATTCTGACAATGAACACTATTAATAAACGAATCGATTTATTGTTAGTGGCAAACCTTATGATGTTTTGTAAGGTTTGATCGATTGATTAGAAAGGTTCGAATCACTGGCTTAACCAGGGAAGGGCCCGAGAGGAGGATCACCCCTTTTGTAATGAGAAATTTAATAAAAACTGATAAATATAGAAAAAAAATATAATTAAATTGTGGTATGAATTTATGTGTATTTATATCTATTATATAAGTGTTAACAGTAAAGGATTATGTCCCTTTCAGGCCCTAGTAAGGCCTTTTATGTAAAAGTGTTTTTTTTAATATTAAAAAGACAATAAACTCCTTAAATAATAACACATTTTTTTCTTTATAATATATACTTTTTATACTCTTAAATAATACGCTATTTAATTTTTGAGGCCCCCTCGAGAAGACGAGGCCTTAGGCACGTTGCCTAGTTTCACCGAGTGTTAAAAGAGAAACTATTAAATTTTAACTTCAGATCCTTCCCCCTTTACGAAGAATTTAGTTACGTTGATTGTTACGCTTGTGTTAATAAAACAATTACTTGTATTCTTTTATATAATTTTTCTTCATATAATTTACTAAATTTATAATATATTAAATAATTTTTATTTTAAAGATAAAATTGCATTAAAAAAAAATAAATGAATTAATTTTAGTTCTAATTATCTCGACGGTTTCTAACGGGTGATTAATTTAAAATTAATGTACTCTAATTAATTTATGGCTTTGTATAACAAGTTAGAAGACGAATTAGTTGCTAGACACGTATTCTCCAATAGTCGAGAACTAAATCTTTAAAGGAGATTTGTCTAGTTATTTATCTATATGTTATTAAGAGAAATATTTACTACGAATAATAATAATAATAAATCTCCCTTGGGTTCTTTACAGAATTTTAATCTGTGTTTATTTGGTTGAAGGGTTTTTATAAATTCAGCAGTTTTACTTTGTTAATCTTTTGAATTCGTTAAGAAATTAGATTAAAGATTTTTAAAATGCAAAGTTATATTTAAAATATATAACGGACAATAATATAATCTAGTGTTATCCAACCTGTAGTACGCGGACTTTTAGGTACGTAGAATCCATAGATAAACAATATTTATAGAAAATTAATAATCTTATAGAGTATATTTATATATTAACTATATTTAAGTTACATTGAAATCAAATTTTCTATGTAAATTAGCATTAAATGGCCATTTGTCAATAGAAAAAAAAATTGAGAACAATCGTTGAGTGCTTGTGTGAGACCCCTTTAGCCATTTGTTCATTGAACAAATGTTTCTTTATTAATAAAGATTTTATTTCCTATTAGTAAAAGTAAATTTTAAAAGTATAATAGAAGCGAAGGAAGAGAAAAGTAATCAAGTATTTAAATAATAATAATTTTATGTGGGAAGAAGTTTGCCTTTTTATTAGAGAAAGAAACTCGAGGAAAGTCTAAAAGAAGTGAAATAGATCCACGTAAACAATGTTGAAATAAATAAATAAGAAAATTAATAAAGAAAATAGTCGCGAAAGGCACCGATATTTAGAAAGAATGGAGTGAAAATCACTTTGTAAAAAATAAAAACCATTCTTAGTAAGTAGAATAAGGAAGTTCGAATCAAAATATTTAAAGTTGGAAGAATGCAATGGGAAAATCCAGTCATATCATAGCGTGGAATAAAGCGTGGAAATCGCAGCAAGAACAAATAAATTGATATTTAAATTAAGGAAAATTCTGATTATATAATAGACAAAACAAAGGCGAGGACATCAGCCAAATGTCCTGAATTGACTAAAATAAATTACCTGTATAGTGATAAAAAAATTGAGTCTCAAGTAAAACCTGAAAATGATATCAAGAAAGTGCGCAAAGAACTAGAAAAAAAAATTTATTAAGGCTATTATATTTAACAAGAGATAGCAACCTCCTGCCAGATTGCTTAGTAATTATTTAGCCTCAATAGCCTGATAAAGGAATCCGACTGTTCGTTTTACATTTGAAGTAATGATTATAAGTCGACCCCCCCTTATAACACTGTTGATAATTCCATTTTATATGAATTCCATGTTGTATGAGTCACTTAGATTTTACAAATACGTGTGTCCGGCTGTGAACGACTCACGTATTTGTAAAATCTAAGTGACTCGTACAACACGGAATTCATATAAAACGGAATTATCAACAGTGTTATAAGGGGGGTCGACTGTAGTTGTATTTACTATAAGTGTTACAAATACAGTAAAACCTGTGTAAACCGGTTACCGAATATGTTTTCCGGTTTGGCAGGTTTCCTTTTAAACAGGTTTTACTTTATACGTAAGATTTGAATAATATTTACTCTTTTTTTTTTGTATTTTGACTTCAATATTGAATAGATAAATCTTCCATTTCATCATTTACCAATTGTCAAGAAAGAAAGAATAAATTATGTCACTCACTTAAGAATATTTGGGAAACTTTTCATTGATAATCAGCTTATATTTTGAAATCTCTTATTACATTCAAGAACGGAAACATAAAGGACTATAGTTTACTCACCCGAATTTGAAAGTAAAAACAAAAATGATATTACAAAAGGCTGTATATTTGAATAAGAATTTCTCTCTTTTTAACAATCTCTCGTATAGAAATATAGAATACAGACTTAAATATTTTACGTAAAACTTTAAAAAAAATTATTATTATTCTCTCAAATGTTGATAATTTATATGTAAATAACTCAATTTAAATCGGACTTTAAAATTAGAAAAATAATATACACAATTAATTTTATATGTATATAATTTATTTATTAATAGAAATAATTAAGAATGAAAATTATAATATACAATTAATAATACATATAAATTACATTTACAAATTATTGTGTATAAGAATCAATATAAAAATTACTTGTACAGTACATATTGAAATCTTGAATACAAATCTATTGTCATTGAGGGAAAAAGAATGGATTTATAAATGATTTTTGTGAAGATGCAACTGTTAAAATAATGGAAAAATAACCTTTTTTTCTTTAGATAAATTGATTCAAATTCACATTTTGTTAATACTTTTTATCGCGGAATATAATTCTAGTCCATCAGTTTCGATCCAGTTGCGATTGTAAACCTTCGTAAAATACTTTCTTAGTTTCTACTATCGTCGCTCTAGAATATAAAACAGCAAAAAAATTAATATAAATAATATAAAAATGATAAAGATTAAATATAAGTAAAATATTCTACCTAAAAACCACTTGTCCGGAATGATCGTTGGGTGCCACCCATGCCAAATGAACTGCGATTTTGGGTTTAGGATTGCTATGGCTTACAGCCGAACATTCTTTCATAACGGCTAAACCCGGTGCTTCGATAAATTTACCAATATATTTACCAGTTTCTTTATCAAGAGCTTGGACCATAAAACCTTTAAATGATGCTTGAGGATCCAAGCGCCTTATTGCCACTAAAAAAAAAAAATAAAATAAAAAATAAATGATGACAAATGACACCCATTAAATTCTTATTTTAGAAAAGCTTCTGATATTTATTTAATGCGACCCACTTTCTGAAAATTCTTGCACCTTGGCGTGTCAGGTTTTAAAATTTCATCTTAATCTATTTTAAAAATAATTGGTCAACGAACTGTTATAGATAAAAAGATATTCTACAATGTTTTCTTTATTAAATTATATAAATATATATATTTACTACCGTACAGTATAAAGAATTAGAAAATAAATAAATATTTTGACACAATTATAAACAATCAGTGTTATTGTCCGTATGTTTTTCAAGTTCAAATACAGATAATTCAGTGATTCGGGGGCATTGTTATTGTTTAATAACAATTCTATTCTTGATCTACTTTTTTTTATAGGACATCACAAGTAGTCATCATTTCAAATTTATCTTCCTGACAATCTATCCAAAAATAAAATACACAGAGCTATGTCTATAATAGTAAATAATATAGCCAATACAGGGGAAAAACAAATCAGTTTTCTAGAAGTTAAAATTTGCAGTGTGAATCGCCTGTTAATTTAATAATATAATGATTCAACTCACCATTTATAACGTCTCCGGGATTATAATAAACTGCGGATTGTATTATATCGTAAGGAGCATTACGAGCGGGTTGGGGATTAGCTTTGTGACCTCTTTGCGGACTCAAAGAATCACAAGATTCAGTCGGAGCACCACCCGGAAATGCCAATACGTAGGTATGGAATGATATTAGGATTAACGAAAGCACTAGAAGTTTCATATCGGCTTGTTGTTGACTCGACTAAATACGAAATGGATTTAACTTCACTTTTTAAACCTATTGTCCCAATTTTATTAACGCTGGAGGCTATCACGAAAGACCTACATTAATTTAAGTTTCGATAATTGTATCATCGTTTCCGGTTCAGTAGTGAAGGTTTAAATAGAGACGGAAGTTTCTCTCATTTCCTTGAAGTTTTTCTTGATGTAGACAATTTTTTTTTTTTTTTGCCTTTAATGAATTCTTTCAGGTCGTTCTACTTAGATCCGCGTCAACTTACAGGCTATAAATTAAATAATTTTTTTTTATTTTATTTTGTTTATGCCAATGCGAATAACTATTTTACCACATAACTATTCCCAATGACATAATCATGAATAAATTTGGAGTCATTTACCCGTCTTCTTCGGAATTTACGTAATATTCTTTATGTTGTAATACGTCAACGCGGAAAACCTTAAACATAATTTATCCAGTTTTCCTAACACATTATCCTTAAATAGAATAAACTTAATATACTAAATTATCGGATAATGCATTATAATTTTTTTTTACCGGATTATTCGACATTTTAAACACAACAAAGCGACTAAAAACATTAAAGAACATCTTCAAATCTTTGTATTTTAATAAATAATCAATCATTTAAGTTTTGTACTCAATGCTTTGCACCAATTATTCGTAATTAGAAGCAATTAAAGAATACATTTCGCAAACGTACAGTATACATTAATAAAAAAAAAAAACAACTTTCCTTAGAATTGTACCATAAATAGAAGAAGAAAATTTGATGAGTGAACAAGTAAATTTGATTAACTTTCTTTTTATTTTTTTTATATATATAATTTTCTTACATCGTGACTAAAATATAGTGAGAAAAAGTGGAATCTGATAGTAACACAACTGGTTTAACCTTCATCCGAGGAAACTACTAAACTATTCTACAGGGGACTTACTTGTAATCTTTGACTTGTAACTATAAATAGGTTACGAGAATGCAGCACTTGTTAAAGTTCAGTAACACCTCGTAAATTCAGTATTGATCGGTTTTCTACTTTGGAAGATATCGTACTTAAAATGATTTAAGAAAAGATTCTTCGAAACAATATAACTTGTGTAATATCTTTTTTTTTTTTTTCTTTTTTGGTATATTTTTGAGAGACATTCGAGACTAGAACGAATTTTATTTCCTGATACGAATTGAAAAAAAAAAAATTAGGATATAAATTTTTAAAATAGAAAGATTAATATATCTTACATTAATTCTTTTTCTATTTTTGTAGATTTTATTTTCTCAACTGTTATATAACAGAAGGAAAGTATGGCGAGCGGTCAAATAAATAACCACCCTCCCCCTTAAGATTTTTTTTTTACATTGTTTTGAACTTAGAACCTTGAAAAAAACGTTAGAGAATAGCAAAATAATTTGGGGATTTTTTTTCTTTCTTTCTTTACGTATGGATGTCTGTGTAGTTGTGGGAGGCACGATTTTTTTCATCCAATTTAAAGCTTAATAACTCCTGTAGGTTTTGTCATAAATTTTTGAAATTTTGCATGGAAGTTTGTGTATTAGGGAGAAATGTTTCTAGAAATTTTCAGGAAAATTGGACAATTGGTTCGGGAGATATAACCCCCAACTCATTAACCAGTACCATAACTAGGCAGGTGCAACAGGTGCACACGCACAGGGCCCACTTAGAAGAGGGGCCCAAAATGCATGTATTTGTTTTATTACTTTCCCAAACCTAATTAATTAAGGGGCCTAAATGCAAATTCCTGCACAGGGCACAGGAATGGCTAGTTACGGCACTGTCATTAACGTCCACAGAACCAATCTGAAGAGTAATGGTAGCAATTATTAGGGATGAAAACAAAGAATACCAGGAAAATCCATCAACAATGTCGCCAGTTTTTTTTTAATATTACGTTTTAACATCTAGCAAAATATTTTAAATACAATTTTTAACGCTTCGTAACAAGCAAGCATGCGAGACATTTTTTTTTACTGTTTACATTGGGATTATTAACGCGTTACGCCTTTTATGTTATAAATAAATGCATTTTAAAAACTAAATAATAATGTAAAAATTCGAGCAATTTGTTATTAAGCTATTTACAGATAAACGTCAGAACTAATGATTATTGTTAAGTCAAATTAACGAACGAATGTAATCACATTATGTGAGAACTCAAAATTATCTGAAGACGTAACAGAATTAAAATGAATTGGAAACTGAGAAGTGAAGAACATTTAAAGACAATGGCTAGATTAAATAATGATGGATTGCAGTAATATTAACGAGGTTTTTTTTTGGATTTTTAAGTTGGTTATATTAAACTAATTCGATTGTTAAATGGTATTATTAAATTTTCTTTTCTTTTAATTTGTTAAGTTTTTCACAAACAAGATTATCCTTATTGGTCGAGTGCTGCCTCGTAAATTAAGTCTTTTCCTTTTCGGGAACATTTAACAATTCGTCTCATGCTGAAAAATGCTTTATTAAATACTATAAAATGAGAAAAAGCTTAATTTTGAGGTGTTTAAAAAAATATAAATGCTCATAACTAGTAAAATCTTCATTAAGTTCAATCCCACTCGAGATATACATATGATCTCCTTCAATCTCCACACTCCTCGAGTTCCGTACTCCAAAATTCAATAGAATCAATTCCCCTTATATACAAGTTACCATGTCAAATTTCGTTTCTTAATCTTTACTCCATTCTGAGATTAAAACTCCTTGAAAAACTTGAGGTTCTTCAATCCTCTTGAATTTAATTTCGGGTCCTCCAGAGAGGTAGACTGATGCCTTAACAGTTTTGGTTATCCAGCTGACACTATATTCTTCTACAGCTTTGATGGCAAATGTAATTCCGGTGATATAAATTAGTACAAATTGAATACTAAATAATACACTTACAATGGTAAAGGCGTCATGGATTCGGTTTCCTATGCCTCAAATTTTACGTAAAGATTGGTAGCCCTAGTGAATTTATACTAACAGTATAAATTCACTTGGGGGCTGCCAATCTTTACGTTTATATTTCCAGTGAAAAACATTGATACGTATTGATGGCAGAGCGGTTGAGATGATGATCCATGGAAGACCCTGGATCAACAAATCCCAGAAATTCTCCAGGTAGTAGTCCTTCCGGATATGTTAGACCCCGTCCCTCATCACCCTATCGTGTGCCTAGCAGAACCCTTAATAATTTTGTTAAAAACGGTCCTCTTAGTACCCACAGGGCAATCATAGCTTCTCTGAATGAGAAGTTCAAGTGCTTTTCGCATGTTCCTATGAAATATTGTACTTTACTTAATGTATGCTGAAAGTGGTTCCTATTTCCTGCCTAAAAATTAAAATACTGTAACCGATTCCAAAATTATTAGAAATTCCCTTTTAAAGCAATATATTTTATAATAGTGTGAGAAATTTATTTGTTTTTAATTAAAATTGATGAAATCTTATAATTTCTTTGAGAGAAGACAAAACTACACTAAGTAAATTTATATATATATTAATTCCTTCCCATCTTTATACAGATATGGAAGAAAATTTTAGTATTAGCATAATAAAAAACAGAAGTTATTCAAAGCTTATAATACTCAAATTAAAAGACAAGATTGTTTAATAGAGTAAATTCACAATACACAAATTATCTATATTGGATACACTATTTTTCAACATAATTCTTTTGACAGTTGAGCACTATCACAGCATGTAATAACTTTGTTCAAGTACATAGACAGACAAATCCCTGTTTTGACAGTATTTGATACCTTTTATTACAGACAAAATACTGTCTCAAGTATAGAAACACATGAAAATCACCTGGTCAACTTTGAAGTGTATAAAGATTGTTCCAATATTTCTCAATGGAACTTTTGCAACTTTCTGAACCTGTGATATGTAGTGTTATCAGGACAGAAATGCACTGGCTATGAAAGACATTTTTCATGCCCACAAAAACTGCATCATTTCTATTATTATTTTAGTTGTACTCTTAACATATATACTTCAAAACATGTGAACAAATAGTAGAGATCTGTATTGCACATAAGTAATAAGAAAAATTTCAATAAAATATTAAAATGTGTACATGAAGTTCACATAAACTTTAAAATTGGAATAATTTAGCTTTCATATTTATAATAAAATCATCACAGGAGCTAGAATAAATTACTTTTACAATGCATTTTATAAGGTTAAGATTCAACAAAATCTCTTATTACCAATCCAACATGCAATATTATTTTTGGAATTACTTTTTCTCAATTATATTAATAATAATTGCTGTGAAAAACTCTTCCTCCAAGTTTTTAAAAAATAACAAAAAACAAATTTCGGACAGCTAAGTTCATCCTCGGGTGACATACAAACAATTTCTAAGTCTCCTGATTATATTAACTGCATTTATCATCTTGATAAAAACAAAGAATATTTAAGTAAATTAAAATTGAAATGATTGCAAAGGAAAAATTCCAATGGAGATAAACTGTACAATTTGTATTCATTAAATAAGTTAAAATTAAACACAAGACAAATTTACTACAAATGTTCTTGATTATAATTTAATGGTCATCGTCAGATAATGCATTTATAATAAAAAAAATGGAATATTAAAAAAGAAAATAAAACAACATTTAAGAACTTAGATTGTCATTGCAAAGAAGTTGCAATTTAAAATTATAAAATGTACGAGTAATCATAGCTAGAATAAATACATATTTGAAGAACAATCTACATATAAATCTTAAATATTGACCATTAAAGTTTAGTCAAAAATGTTTATTGTATTAAATTTGTCGGAATTTCACGGCAGTGTTTAAATTAAGACAAATTTAAATTTTGTCTATAAGAAACTAAAGTGTATTGTAAAATTAATTATAACTTTTTTGTGTTCATAAATTAATCTAGCAATTAATATGTAAGAAATGATAATTATTATGCTAATTTAGTAATTGTAATAAAGAAAATATACAGTTAAACCTGTCTATCTTGAAATTTATTCCTCCTGAATTCTCAGCCTAAATTCAATATATTTACCATGTTCGTCTCAAATAATTTTCTCCCAAATCTCTCTATCTCAAATTATGGACTGAAGTGTCAATTACAAATTCAAAGCTCAGTGACTACATTTTGATAGTAGAAATTTTAGTTGCAATTAATGCCGCTTTTCTCCGATTGGCTATAAATTTTCGCTTGTCAAATTATTTCTGTTATATGTCAAAAATGTTTTACTTATATCTAATATAAGTATGTACTGTACTTGCTATTGTATCAATTGTACTATACCTCCAATCAAATCTATTACTGTTTACTGCGTAGGAATTTCTAATCTTGAATTCTTTCTCATTCCAGTGAGAGTTGAGATAGATACGTTTAACTGTATATATTTTCATTTAAAGTTGAATTAAAGTAACTTGAAAAAATTTGAATGTTTTGTTTTTTTATGAAATATGATTTAATATGTATTCTTGTTTCATGTAAAATCTATAAATAATAAAGTTACATTGGCTTCACTAACAGACTGACAAACTAATATGAAATGTTTGAGTAGAAGCAGACAACTTACAGAAAAATGACGTGGCACATTCAAAAGAAAATGCTGCGTTTATTACCATAAAAATCTGAAGTCTTAAAAAATAAAATATTTTAGATCCTATAAAATGTCAAATTTCAAGCACCACCTGACTATTGTCCCAAAAGACTATTGTTTCTATTTTAACTATTAAATATTCAGTAATACATTTGTTCTTATTTAAATTTTGAATTTCTTTCATAATAGTATGTATTAATATGAATAAAATCCTCCTGCTTAATGTTTAATTATGTTTATCATTCAATCAAAATCTTATATCTAATTATAACAAAACATAATACCTTTATAAATAAATATTATGATGAATGAAGAAAATGCATATGATAAAAAGAAACGCACATAAAAAAAAATTATTACAGTTTGAGATTTATAAGAGAAAGTGTGTCTGAAAATTTATGAATAAAACAACAAAAACAACATTCTTATTTAAATATTCATGAAACAATAAAGATTTTTATTTATTTATTTTTGACTAAAATCTCAAATTCAATAATTCTTTTTTTCTGAATTTTATTCCACATGAAAAAATATTTTTAACTTATACAATTATTCTGCAAATAGTGTATCCATCTGTGAAAAATTTAATTGAATAAACTAACATTAGAATTTAATATAACATTTTTACAATCTGAAATATATTATACAGTTCAGTATATGATCTTATATACATATTACCAAGTGCATAAAATAGGAAATGTTTAGGATATAATTGGAATACCATAATAAAAAAAACTTCTATAATGAAAATGCAATTTCACCTTGTACGACAATCCCCAAATAGACATTTCATTGTAAAAATAACACCAGTTGTTTCTAAAAATAATCTAAAATTATATTAAATACATGTAATAGATTGTTTTAGCAAATTTGGATCATATTGTATTACAATTTTCATGAATATGTAATGAATTCTATTATTTTTTAGAGTTATTAATTTCTGTACACTATAGAATTATAATCAACAAATACCATATACAATGTGTACAATCAACAACATTAACACCTAGTTTGGATTTTGATTAATTGACATGAACATATAAATCAAAGATCTTTTTGCACAATATTTTAAATATAGTATATTTCTTTATATAATATAAAAATCACTTATTTCATAATTGTTCATTTTCTGTATATTGTTCTGATTGATATCAATTATAAAATTGTCAAAATAATAACTTTTACTTTCAAAATGAAAATATAGTGCAAGATATTTTTGCTTAACACAGGAGGAAAAAAAAAAACAAAAACTACTATATAATAAATCTTATTTAATTTTCTGTTATGTTTTGTATGTATGTATGTAGTATATATGTCATAAATAACTTTATTTTCTATCACCCATCAGAGAGAGAAGGAAAAGAAATATGTAAACAATATCCAAGTACAATTGCAAAGCTGCAAAAATATGTTCTTCAGCACTGAGTTGATGTTTTTTCCCGCCCATCAGCATTTGGGTATCATAAGCCAAAAACTAAAAATAAAATAAAAACACATGTTTTAAGAGTATAAAATTTCCTTCTTAACTTTACAGAAATTCTAACTCACCAACATAAACAGCAATGCTCCTAATGCAGAGTAGACTGTGTTCAATATCTAAAATTATTTTTATTACACTTTTTAGTAAAATTACGTTTTCAACTATTAGTATGTATGTAAATTAAACTTACAGAATTGTAGGTGAATATTGTAAGAATGCCAAACAGGAACAAAACAAAGCAAAGAATGAACAGTACACCACCACAGCTTGTCAAATCAATCTACACATAAAATTGGTGAGATATTAGAGTTATGAATTATCTAAATAAAATATAAAAATAAATATTACCTTTGTGTTAAAAGAAAAAATAGTAATTGCCAAGCAGCAGGCAGCACAAATTCCCATGGCCATTAATACAATATTTGTGTTGTGATAACTGCAAAAAATAAAACATGCTATAAAATTACATTTGAAATAAAATACCAAATACTATAATGATTATCAAGATAATCCTCACAAAATATTTAATGTCTCAAGACAAATTCTAATATTGATCAATAAAAATCTATGAGAATTTAATAAAAATAAAAACATATCATATATGAAAACTAAAATTTTACTGTAACAGTATATAAGAGAATTTCTAATATCCTTTCCTGCCAAAGAATAATCTTTCATGTAAAATAATACATAAATTTTGTTACCTTGAAATTACTGTGTTAAATTATCTAGATCAGTGTTTCCAAACCTTTTTTGTGCTATGCCCCACCTAAGCCTTTCTAAAATTCTTATGCCCCCCTAACATATACAGCGGTTATACGATTAACTTAAACTCTGGATGAGTCATTTTTGAATTGTCCTCCTTAACAATCGAATTGCTCCGTGGGGCGTGGGCCCCACGTTGGGAAACACTGATCTAGATAATTTGAATGAGGAGCAAGTTATATGATGGGGTGGGTTATATGCTAATTTTAGATTACAATTACAAACTTTTGCCTGTGGAGTAATGTATGCTTACTAGTGAAACTAGGTTCAGTTCTGCTCCACTGCTTAAAACATTGTGTCTTTTTTATTTCCCTCTCCTCAGTCTTCATCTTATCATGCTACTTCAATGTTAAGAAACCTCCACTTTTTTAAACGTAGTGTGTTGTATTATTTTTTTAATACATAAATACTGTTTAAATGTAAAAGATTAAATATGTAATTAATGTTTTAATTTGTTTTTCTAATATGTCTACTTATTACGCAACTGTTTGAAGAAAATAATCAAGGATAGCCTTTCAAATCCTTCAAAATAGCCTGTGTTCCCTGCAGTTGAAGGTGAACTAACTGAGATGCCCTTCATAACCATATGATAAATAGCACAACAAATCATGTAAAAATTCTATTTTTTTTCTGGTAATTTTTGTGGGCTATATGCCATCATGAATTATGTACATGAAAATACAATAAGTATATATTTTGGACCAAATTTATTAACTCATCCTGTGTAAAAAAATCCAAGTTCTTACAAAAGTGGAATAATTTTAAAAATTGATATTTTCCAAACATGCAATAGTTGGTATTTGGTGCATTAATTCTTTTTAAAAAATTATATTAAAAAATATTGTATACAAATATTAACAACAGAAATATTAAACTAGAAACATTAGCAAGCTCAAGTTTTGTATTGAATTCTCATTTTGATATTCAAAGTTCTACATTTTTGGAATTGTATCTATTGACAATATCAAATGTCAAGTTTTAAAAAAATTTGAGTTTATATTTCCAAAACAAAAAACCTAAAGCCTATATTTTAAATTTTAAATACTTAGTAATTATAATAAATTAATATTTTTAAAAATAAAGAAAAACAGAAGAGTAGTAAATTTTAAATAATTTTATAATTAAATTTGATTCATAATGATTTAATTTTGCCACAAACAAATGTTCTGTTAATTTACAAAAAACAATAAAACTTACTTACTTTAAGCTTTTCTAAAGCCAAATATGAACTAGCCAACATCACAATTTGTTTCTTGTATATGGCATTAAATTTATACAGTTCTAACTTCAATAGTTATTACTTAAATATCATTTTAAATCAAACTTTGAAGAAAAATATATGGTAGATCAGTCTAGGTTCTCAAATCTGACATATTGGATCAATATTCCAACATCTTATAATAATATTGTTAGTAATGTTAATATGTAACAACACAGAAGAATATAATTAATATAAAACTTATGTACTTACAAATATTATAATGTATACAGTAGAACCTCGATTATCCGGACTAATTGGGGATGAAGATATACCGGATACGGAAAAATTTGGATAATCGAAACAAATACTTTAATTTGTCTTTTAATGCTAATACAACACATTTTCTTTTCGATGACATATCAGTAATATTAAAAATAAATACTGTATTTAAATTGTGATCAAATTTTCAAGAAACAAATATTTGTATTGAATTTGGACTACTACTGACCAGTGCTAACAGACTACCTATTGTTTAAAAGGCCCTCTGGTGGCGCAAGAAGACGGATTTTATAAAATAAAAAACAGTTGAATCTACATTTTTATGAATAAAAATTTGACAAACTAT